TATCTCACCCTCCCTCCCCCCACCCTTCTCCTTCCTCCTCCTCCCCCCCCCCCACCCTCCTTCTATCTGCTCCTCCCTCCCCTCCCCCTCCTTTTTCCTCCTCCCCCTCCCCTCCCCCTCCTTTCCCCCCCTCCCCCTCTCCCCACCTCCTTCTATCTCCCCTTCCCTCCCCTCCCCCCCCACCCCACCTCCTTCTGTCTCCCCTTCCCTCCCCTCCCCCCCCTCCCTCCTCCTCCTTCCTCCCCCCCTCCCCCCCTCATCTCTAAAATGAATGGTCTGGCAACACAATAGTTTCGTTCATTTTCCATACATCAGTTTCCCTGCATGGCCCGCCCCGCCCCCCGCGCATGACGTAGGGCCGTGAATGCATGATGTTTTATGAATGATATTTCAGCCTATTTATCATTCGCGAGTTATATTCTCTGTTTGTTTTCCATTGTTCGTGTTGTTGTTTTTTTGTGGTGGATTTTAATGTTGTTTCGTTTTGTTGTTGTTGTTTTTTCTACGTTTGGGGAATTTTAATCAGTGTTTTTGTTTTTATTTTTTTTTACTTTGTTGTTGTTATTGTTGATATTCTTATTATCCTTGTTGTTATTATTTTTGTTCTTGTTATTATTTTTGTTCTTCTTGTTATTTTTTCTCCTCTTTTTCTTCTTCCTCTTCTGCTTCTTCTTCTTCGTCATCTTCTTTTTTTCTTCTTCTTCTTCTGCTTCTCCTTTTCCATCTCCATCTTCTTCCTCTCCTTCTCCTTCTTCTCCTTCTCCATCTTCTTGTGTGTCCGTGCGTGCCTGTTCGTGTCTCTGAGGCGCCGTTTCGTCCGTACGAAAGACTGCCTGCGGTGTGTCGTGTGCACGTGAGCGTGTGCGTGCGTGCGTGTGCGTGCGTCTGCTCATGTAGTCAGAGCTGGAAACGCCACCGAAGATTGGGAAGCACAGCCAGAATTAATTAGGGACTTCCGCTTATTTGTGAGCGAGGAACTTCCGCAGAGAGACCTGGCTTGGTACGTGTTTGGGGCGGAGAGGGGAGGGGAGGGGAGAGGGGGGAGGGGGAGGGGGAGGATTGTGTGTGGTGGGGGAGGGGGAAGGGGCAGGAGGATTGTATGGTGGGAAGGGGAGTTGTGTGTGTGTGTGTGTGTGTGTGTGTGTGTGTGTGTGTGTGTGTGTGTGTGTTTGTGTGTGTGTTTGTGTACACATACCATATACGTGTGTTACGCTAAATCACCCATCCCCCCCTGATTTATGAATAAAAAACAAAACAAAAAAAAGACGCGTGCGTCCCCAATGGCACCGCGGACGACGAAGGGCTTTTCCATCCACGGGGCGGCGGGGCTTCGGCGACGGCGCGGATGGCAGGCAGAGGCGGCGGCAGGTCGTCGTCTGCCATCTGCGGACGTCCGGCGACCCGTGTACGTGTATGTGTGTGTGTGTACGTTCGCGTGTGTGCGTGTACCCAGATGTCGCCACTGCACACGGCTGCCAACGGGGAGGATGGCGGCTGGAAGGAACAGCCGGAGGATTATCGCGAGGTGATTGGCTCAGCGATCTGCCTTATGACGCGAATGAGGGAAAGAGGAATGGGGATTAAAAGGGTTATTTAGGAGGAAGGGAAAAGCGAAGGGAATATAGAGCAAAGAGAAAGAGGAGGAGGAAAAGGAGGAGGAGGAGGAGAAGTTTCCACGACGCGGGGTTGGCTCGCCTGCCGTTCGAGGGGAGGAGGTACGCCGCAGTTAACAGCCTCCCTTCCCATCCTCCCCCACCCCCTCCCCCTCCTAAAAAAAAAAGAAAATAAATAAAAGCGCGACAGATGACGGTTTTCTGTTGCATTTTCGCATTTATGACGACATTATGAGGGCGATGAAGCAACCTTACCTTCGCCGGATACAGCTCCCGGCCGGACCTGCGGTTGAAAGTCTTTGGAATTAATATCAGGATGCATTTTGTGGCCGAGATTTTTTTTTTTTTTTTTTTTTTTGGGGGGGGGGTGCGAAGGGAGGGAGGTGGGGGGGGGAGGAATTTTTCACTTGTCTGAATGAATGAATGAATGAAAGAAAGAAGTGTCACTGCTAATCGTGCATAAACGTCAGGTGATTATTATTAGTTGACGTTGTAAATCTTTCGAAATGAAGGGTTACATTCCTAAAGAAATTCTACAATGATAATGATAATAAATATAATGATGATGATTATTTTATTAAAGAAAATGAACAATACTAAATTCGAAATCTTCTACAGACTCTTTCTCCCTCTCCCTCCTTTCCTTTCTTCTCCCTCTGTCTCTCTCCCTCTTCTCTCTCTCTCTCTCTCTCTCTCTCTCTCTCTCTCTCTCTCTCTCTCTCTCTCTCTCTCTCTCTCTCTCTCTCTCTCTCTCTCTTACTATCTATCTATCTCTATCTCTATCTATCTATCTCTATCTCTATCTATCTCCCTGTCTCCCTCCCTCCCTCTATATCCCTTCCTCTCCCTCTTCTTCCCTTCCTCCCTCCCTTCCCCCCCCTTTATCTCTTCAACCCCCTCCCTCACGGAATCTCTCATGCACAAACGGTCCCATGCAACGATTATGCCATGCACAAACCGCCACCAGCAGAGATAGGAAAGCCGCCCGGATATCGATGGCTGTCACTCCTGTCACTGGCTATCTGTTGTTGCCTTTTCCCCCTTTATTCATTTTCCTTTGCCTTGTTATTTGGCGTGTGTGTGTCTTCATCTCTGTTATTGTCGTTGTTATTATTATTATTATTATTATTATTATCATTATTATCATCATTATCATTATCATTATCATCATCATCACCATAATCATCATCATCATCATCATCACCATCATCATCATCATCACCATCATCATCATCATCATCATCATCATCAATAACAACATCATTATTATAACTATCACTGTTAACACTATCATCATCATCGTCATTATCAAAATCTAGATAACAGAAAAATATATTAAAGAGACAGATAAACACTCGCTCTCACTTTCCCTCCCTTTCTTGTCTTAATCCTTACCTTCACTTCCTTCCGCCCGTCCCTCCTTCCCTCCCTCCCTCCCCCACCCCCTTCACCCCCACCCCCCCAACCCTAACCCCTTTAAATCCTTAAGTAAAACAACTAAAACCTAAATTATCTTAAAAAACTCCCTTTGAATTCCCCTCTTCCCTTAATCCTTACCTTTATTTCCTTGCTCTCTTCCCTTCCTTCCTTCCTTTTCTGCCACACTGGTCTCATTTACCCCCCCTCCCCCCCACCTCCCCTCCCCCCCCACACACACACACTTTAAATCCCTTCGCCAGGCTTCCTTTAAAACAACATATGTCGCGAGACGGCCATCGCATAGCCGGATGACAACATAACAACAGTACATTCACATGACCGTGTATTGTCATGTCATCATATCCCTTTCGACAGGCGCATGACGTCACACATCCGCTCGTCGCCATGGCAACACAGTCATATGGCAATCTGGTAGCATGGCAAATTTGGTGCGATGTTATTTCGCTTAATTTCGTATATATTGATTGTAAAAGCTTAGGGTAGTATTGCAATAACAAATTATTATATATTTTTATTATTATTATTATTATTATTATTATTATTATTATTATTATTATTATTATTATTATTATTATTATTATTATTATTATTATTATTATTATTATTATTATTATTATTATTATTATTATTATTATTATTATTATTATTATTATTATTATTATTATTATTATTATTATTATTATTATTATTATTATTATTATTATTATTATTATTATTATTATTATTATTATTATTATTATTATTATTATTATTATTATTATTATTATTATTATTATTATTATTATTATTATTATTATTATTATTATTATTATTATTATTATTATTATTATTATTATTATTATTATTATTATTATTATTATTATTATTATTATTATTATTATTATTATTATTATTATTATTATTATTATTATTATTATTATTATTATTATTATTATTATTATTATTATTATTATTATTATTATTATTATTATTATTATTATTATTATTATTATTATTATATATTTTTATTTTATTTTTTTCCTTTTTTTCTTTAATTATTTCTCCCTTCTTTCTTTTTTTTACAGTACCATCAGGTATCATAAACACTAATTGCATGGTCATTTCTCCGCAAATTATCATAATTGTCATTATTATCAAACTACCGCCGTTCTTATCGTTAAAGTTTTATTAATAGAAATAGATAACCGTGACGAAATTTTAACTCTCGTTTTTTTTATTATATTATTATTATTCATCGTTATCAAAATATCTTTTTTTTTCTTCATAATTCTCCTATGAAGCGCAACCCATCATAACCACATACTTTTTCTCACCTTATAATCACTACAACATATTCTCACCATAAAAAAATATACCAATGTCAGGTTTATTATGATGCAACGTAATAAAAGAAAATGTCATCACATGCAATTTCTATATTATTTTGAACACGTGAGAGTTTTTTTTTATGATGTGGTGATGTTCTGACGGATGGTGTCCATGTTGGGTGACTGAGTTGAAATTATGTTGTCTATGAGGTAATTAGATGATCTTAGGTGTGTCAGGTATATTGACATATTGTTATAGGTGTTAAAGGACTCACCATTTCAGATGTTATTACTATCTATCATATATTTCCTAGCTAGCTTAGAGGTCACAACAGTTTTCTTTATATTACAACATATTCTTTTTTGTTATTGTTATTGTTTTTTTTTTCTTCAAGAGACAGCGGTGTTATCTAACCACTTTGTGTTTCTCGCCTCATAGAAGATTTCACATGACTTATTCTTAAATGATTTTATTGTAATTGTTCATTCTTATATCATAACCAGACGATATAAGAGATCTTGCATGATTTATTTTATAGATTTTAAAATGATTTATTTAGAATTATATTTTAGTCTTGTTTCATAACCAGACAATGATATGCTCTAACCACCTTGTCTCTTCCCTCCCCCCCCCATGCAGATGCGCCGTGACGTCACCAAGACCACGAGTAGAGTCACTACCATCAGCCACACACTCCCGGGCAGCACGTGAATCACTCCCCCTCCCCTCTCCTTCCCCACCCCCTCCCCGTTCTCTCCATGTCCCCTTTAAACTTCACTCCACCCCCTCCCTCCCTCCCTCCCTCCACCCACCCCCCCTACCACAACCCCGATGTGTGTCCTTCTTTCACGGATCAACTCACTCCTTCTCCCCCCCTCCTCCCCTCCAAGATTTTATTTTTAAAGATCACACACCCTAAAAGAAAGAAACAAAGAAAAGATTGCAAAGAAAGAAAGAAAGAAAAAGAAAAGAAAAAAAGGAGGTGTATTTGAGATTTCATGGATCGGATTTTTTTTCCTTTCTTTCTTCCAAGAAGTATATGAATATATATCCTTAAACAAAAAAGGAGGAATGGGTGAAGAAGGAAAAAGAGTTGTTTCATTTTTTTTTCTGTCTCTCTCTCCCCTTTTTTTTTTACTTAACTTTCGGTTTTCATTCTACTGAACACTCCCTCCCCTCCCCCTCCCCCTCCCCCACCTCCCTCCACCTCTTTTTTTTTTATATTCCTTCTCCCGAAAGTCACTGACCTTCCCGAGTGTCCCAAAAGAAGAGTCTCAAGAGTGACGTCACAGAACCCAAAGAAGATTTCGTCCGTGGAAAAAAAATATAAAAAAAATATCTCAAGAGTCTTACCCAGTGACCCTTCAAGATTATCTTCTCGGGAGATGAATCCTCGCGGCGAATTATCCAAGATCTTTTTCTTTTTGAAGTCCAGCTGTGACCTCTCAACGAAAAGAAAGAAGAGATAAAAGAAAAGAGAAACTCTATATATACATATATATGATAAAGACAAGGAGAGGGAAATCAGTAGTGAATAGAATCCTAAGTGACAGAAAATTTTGTGTGCGTGGCTGCGTCAATGCTTAAGGTGATAGATAGTCAAGGCATTGAGGGCCCCTGTGTTTTGAGGAGTCCGTGTACTTAAGGACCCTTGTGTTTGGGTCCTAATGCTTGTGGGTCCCTGTGTTGGAGGACTCCTGTGCTTGTGGGTCCCTGTGTTGGAGGACTCCTGTGCTGGTGGGTCCCTGTGTTGGAGGACTCCTGTGCTTGTGGGTCCCTGTGTTGGAGGACTCCTGTGCTTGTGGGTCCATGTTCTTGAGGGTCCCCTGTGCTTAAGGCCCCCTATATTGGATCATGAGGGCCCCTAAGATAAGACAAGGGCCTCAATGATAACACGAGGCCCTCAAGATAACATGAAAGCTTCAAGAAAGCACGAGGGCCCCAAGATAACATGAAGGCCCCCTGTATGATCCTCACACGCCTCCGGTCCGCGTGTGCTACATATGCTATCCTCGCATAGCACATGTATGCATCTTGTGTATTATTATTATTATTATTATCATTATTATTATTATCTTATCTCTTTTCTTTTTTTGATACGAGTGTGTCCCGAGGAGGATCTTCCCAAAGATGTTCTTTTTTGTCCTTCAAGATATTCAGTTTAAATAAAAAAACGCACATTCCTGTTTACGTTTGTTAGTGTGTAGGTATTTGTCAAAATATTATGTACGTGTGTATGTGACTTGAAACACATGTACGTGTGTTTGCATGGACATCTGTACGTCTGCGTACGCACGCGTATGTGTGTACATGTATGTCAGTCGAAACACATGTACGCGTGTTTGTCAGGACATGTGAATGTGTGTGTATGTGAGCGTGTGCGTGTGTGTAAATACATATAATCCTAGAGAAGGATAATTTCGAGACCCAGGTGCGCGGTGCAGCGTCCTGCTCGCTCGCCACACGGAGTCCTGACTGCCCCTTGCTGCCCCGCCGGCAGATGGCAGACGGAAGGAGGCGCGGGCAGACAGCTGGTGGTTGGGAGGGTCAGCGGCGACGGAAGGGAGGGAGGGCGAGGGAGAGAGAGAGGGAAGAGAGAGAGAGTGAGAGGGAAGAGAGAGAGAGTGAGAGGGAAGAGAGAGAGAGAGAGAGAGAGAGAGAGAGAGAGAGAGAGAGAGAGAGAGAGAGAGAGAGAGAGAGAGAGAGAGAGAAAGAGAAAGAGAAAGAGAGAAAGAAAAAGAAAGAAAAAGAGAAAGAGAGAAAGAAAAGGTAAATATTAGTATGCGTGTGTGAGAGAGTGCTTTCTGACCCGTGCCCACAAGAATGTCATAACACAGACCTGAGTGTGTTCGCCGTCGACGCCGCAGTAAAACACCACAGTAAAGTCTCACAATTTACACAAATCTTACACACACATCACCACAGGCACACCACACTCACAGCGAAGATTACACCATACACCCCCCTAAAAACATAATGAAAAAGAATTCCTCAATATTTCCACTATAACACTTATACTTAAAAAAGAACCCTGTAGCGCATAGTGAACGCCATACTTAACACATCATACTTATACCAAAATATAAAGAAAAAAAGTTCATTCTGCATAAACTTACCCTCTACATGCCTCAAATATAACACCATAATTTGCTTTGTACTTATAAAACACCAGTACACTATACTTTAAAGAAAAAAAGTACTAATTACACACACACACACACACACACACACACACACACACACACACATACATACATACATACATTGCACACCACGCCACAGCCTTCCCGAAGCCGATTACCCGCGGGGCGACACCTCCAGAACCAATAAACTGTCTTTGGGGGTAACCATATGGTAACCAGCTGCCACTCCCCCCCTCCCCACACCCCTACCCCCCAATCTGGAGACTAAGGCCACCCGCTGTGCTGAATTTTGTGCTTTGGCGCCGCTGAACTCCGCTGTAATATCCTGTACTGTGCTGCGGTTGTACTTAGCTTGGGGTCGTGTGAGACAGAGTTTGATGATTGTGGATGTAGATGGATTGTCTTCGTTTGTCTGTGTCTGTGTGTCTGTATGTCTATGTGTATTTGTATGTCTGTCTGTGTCTGTGTGTATGTGTCTGTATGTGTATGTGTATTTGTCTGTGTGTGTGTGTGTGTCTGTATGTCTATGTGTATTTGTATGTCTCTGTGTCTGTGTGTGTGTGTGTGGGCGTGAACGCCAATCTACACGTGCTTGCAGTCATGTGTACACTATTTTGTACTTAATGCGCACAGGTTATATTATATTTTTTAGTCTTACCTAGTATTGAGTCGATGAGCTGTTTGCCTGGTCACGTGACAGGTGACATGAAACAGAAGTACCTGAGAACACGGAGCTGTTGTTCAGTCTGCATCGACGAATTGCTAATACCACTCTCACACCAAAGATACATTTTCTAGTGTTGTTATGTAAGCGACCATTTCTGCATTGTAAGATATTTTTGTAGTATCATATAAATGCAAACAAAAAAAATAATAATAATGTACAGATCCTCGTTATTTTTTTCAATAACCTGCTTCCCGTTCGGTTAGTCTCTTCTCTCCTTCCCTCCTACCCCTCCTTTCCCCCCCCCTCCTTTCCCCTCTTCTTCCCTCCCTCTCTACTTCCCTCCTCCCTCTTACCCTCTCCTTCCTCTTCCTCCTCCTTCTTCCTACTTATCCTCTCCTCCCTCCTCCTCCTCCTCCTTCCCTCCCTCTCTACTTCCCTCCTCCCCCTCCTCTTCCCTCCTTCTCTCCTTCCCTCCTCTTCCCTCCTCCCCCTCCTTTCCCCTCCTTCCCCCCTCCCTCCCCCTTCACGAAAATCCTTCGTTTCCCTTTTCGTTTTTTTGAGAAAGGGAAGACATAGAGAGAGAAGATAAAGAGAAGAAGAAAGAGAAAGAGAGAAATTCTCTTTCCTTCCATCTGCCTCACCTAAGTCACGCAACTGAGGTGACTTAAGCGAACAGACTGAAATACCAATGGCCCTTAGAACCACTTTTACAGCTGAGGTCATTAGATTCTAAATACTGATGTGTTCGTAACCCTCAGAAGCACTAGTGGTGAGGTCATTTGAATTTAAATATTGATGTGTTCGTGACCCCCAGAAACCACCATTGCCGCTGAGGTCAACTGGACGTAAATATTGATACGTTCGTGATCCTCAGAACCACACACCGAGTATTGCAGTTCCCGTATGTAAACACTGGCCACGCGAGGAGTTGGCAGGAAATTCGCACATGCCACACAAACGCTTGCAGATACACATACGCACACACACACACACACACACACACACACACACACACACACACACACACACACAGAAGGGGAGGGAGGGAGGGAAAGATAGACACACACTCTTCCCCCCCTCCCCCCCACGCACAGCTGTCTCCACATGTTGCTTCCCCGTCTTCAGGAGAGTGCAAGAAATTCCCAAGGAGGGGGAGGAGAGGATGGAGGAGGAGGAGGAGGAGGGGGCAGAGGAGAAGAAGGAGGAGGAGAGGATGGAGGAGGAGGAGAGAGGAGGAGGAGGAGGAGGAGAAGGGGGAGGAGGAAAAGGAATAGGGGGAAGAGGAG